ATTCACTCGCCTTTTAAAAAGCTTGATTTTGTTCCCCAAACGTATTCTGTGAAGACCCGCCCCTACTCTGATTTGTAGGTTTCAGCACGAGGAGTTAGGTGGGGTGGGTCTTAACGGAATACGCGAGAGAGAGAAGTCATAACAAGTGGTACTGGACAGATAGACGACGTGTTTTTCGGATGTAAAATGAGCCAAACGCGAAAACGCAGCAGCATTTGGATGCACTTCAACCAAAACCCAGGCAGTGATAAAGCGCACCATTTGTAAAGGCAAAATATCCTTTAAAGCAGGGTCAACAAATAATCTCCATCGCCACTTAAAAACACACTACTAATATTAAGAGTTGCGTGAATTTCATTCAAGGCAAGGCAACTTTATTTACTTAACACATGCAGAGGGTAAATTCAAAGTACATTCACTGACATGAATGACATGGATATGGCGCCACCTTGTGTCATGTTTACAATGCAGATTATTGACATTAGGTCTGGCAATGCAGTCAATCATTATCCTGGTGATTATTTCGCAGATAAACCTAGTAACCCCGCCCCCTTTTTAAAAAAACGGCTCTTTTGAACGGCTCTTTTGAACGGCTCTTTGAAAGGAACGGAGCCATAAGATCCGGCTCCCTTCAAAGAGCCATAATTCCCATCACTATTAGTGATGTGTCGGTCGCGAACAAGCCGATTCTTTTGAACGGCTCTTTGGTACGAACGAGGGAAACCGAGTCATACTTGGTGAGAGCCGTTCTTGTTATCGTTCAATCGTTGGTCCGCACTCACTGCCTGCCAAAATCCACTCGCCTTTAAAAAAGCTTGATTTTGTTCCCCAAACGTATTCTGTGAAGACCCGCCCCTACTCTGATTGGTAGGTTTCAGCACGAGGAGTGAGGTGGGGTGGGTCTTAACGGAATACGCGCGAGAGAGAAGTCATAACAAGCGGTACAGGACAGGTAGACGACGTGTTTTTCGGATGGAAAATGAGCCAAACGGGAAAACGCAGCAGCATTTGGATGCACTTCAACCAAAACCCAGGCAGTGATAAAGCGCACCATTTGTAAAGGCAAAATATCCTTTAAAGCAGGGTCAACAAATAATCTCCATCGCCACTTAAAAACACAGTATCTAATATTAAGAGTTGCATGAATTTCATTCAAGGCAAGGCAACTTTATTTACTTAACACATACAGAGGGTAAATTCAAAGTAGTACATTCACTGACATGAATGACATGGATATGGCGCCACCTTGTGTCACGTTTACAATGCAGATTATTGACATTAGGTCTGGCAATACAGTCAATCATTATCCTGGTGATTATTTCGCAAATAAACCTAGTAACCCCGCCCCCTTTAAAAAAAACGGCTCTTTGAAAGGAACGGAGCCATAAGATCCGGCTCCCTTCAAACAGCCATAATTCCCATCACTAGAGCGCAGTGATCCATCCCACTGGAACCCCAAGGCATTACCAACAGATTAACGCACAATCAACCCATACAGCAGGATACATCTACTGTATCTCTCAGAATTTACTATTCTTGTCTGTCACAATGGCACACACGTAAGTACTAAGAGGCTTCTCAATTCTTAAATTTCCCCTCCTCGACTCCCCTCCTCGACTCCTATCCTCGTGGGCATACAAATGGTTAATCCAATGTCTCTGTGTAACTTTAAAATGATTACTGATAATCCATCATTACAATTATAAATAATAAACGCAATAAACGGATTATAATGGTTAGCCGACCGGAGCTTCCGGTTTAGGAGGTGCGCACGCAGTGTCTCATTTTAACTGAATAATGGTCATGTTTACATGGATTTATGAACTGCCCCTAATTACTGCCCCCCTTCCAGAGACACACTGTCAAACACACTCATACCTGCTTGGTATGACATTGAAAAAGTTACATTAAAGGTGGGGTAGGTCATTTTGGAGAAACCAGCTCGAGTGCGCTAGAATTTGAAAATACACAGCCGGAACAAATCTGCCACTTCCTTACAGAGCCCCTCCAACACACACGAACGGGCACATGACCAATGATGGCATGAGATAAGTTTGTGCACAGATGGAAGGCTGACAGGCAGGTAGGCCATCCAGTTATTTTAGCCAGGCCGGCTAAAATGATTGGTCGTGCTTTTTACAGTACTACGCCTTCCACAGATGAAATTTTGTTATGGATTTTTTGTCAAAGCACTTAAGATATTCATTGCTATCGGGATGTTAAGAGCATTCCATGGAATATAACAAAAAGTGTATCTCAAGCCGGTTTCTCAATCTTACCTACCCCACCTTTAAATAATAAATTACAATAAATTACAATAAAATGACTGTTGTTTAATCTTCACATCTTGTAATCATGTCTATCGATAAGAGTATCGAAAAATACCGGTATCGATAAGCAGTATCGGTATCGATAAAATCCTAACGATACCCATCCCTACTCAGGTGTAACTAAAGTCTGCTGGGTTGTATATATTTCACATCATTAATCAGAATCTAAAATACTAAAATAAATGTAGTGGAGTAAAAAATACCAGGTTAACCTCTGAATTGTAGTGGAGTAGAATTACAAAGTAACAATAAATTGCATGTTGTACATGCTGCTGTAACAAAAACATTTCCCAACTTGGGATCAATAAAGTATATCTTATCTTAAGATGATCGATGGCTACTGCCATATTTGCTAAATTTGCCTCTGAACCTTGACAAGTGCATGTTTCAGGCTTATCAATTAACAGGAGGGGTCACAGACATAAGACCAGCTATTAAATAAAGCTATTCTGACCTTAGCTGTCATGTGGGTATATATTAATGCTGCCCATTATGGACACAAGCCATTTTCACCCATGTATTAATTTTATGTTTTAAGTTTGATAACACCAATGTGTTTCCCATCCCCTAAACCTCCAGGGATGTACCCAGTTTAATACTGGCAACTTCTAATTATGGGAAATACGAAAACGTCGGGAGGGGGTATAAGGAAAACACAGACACTCATCACCGAGGTCACAATATCAATCGATCCAGCAGAGCAATAGCCTATAGGCAAAACACAGAAGATCAACAAAAGATATGACATTAAATGAACTTACCAAAGCTGAAGTAGATGGTCAACTTCATTCATTTTCTTTCCGTTTTACTGATTTGAATTGCTATACGCTGCTCTCTCTCGTCTCCTCTTCACAAACAACTACTATTTTCGCGGCACAAGTACTTACAGCCAATCAGCTCTCTGAATTATGAGATAACGTTTGGTAGGTATGTCAGCACAGTGCCCCTATGGTGATTATTTTTTTGCCGCACACATTGAATAGAAAAATACTCTGAGCATGCGCAGTGTAGTTTTTACAGCACCCATTCACTTAGACAGTGAGAGAGAGGGGCTAGATCGGGGCTTGACCCACGTCGCTCAAAATGGCTCAATAGGCACACTGTAGACACTAATTAGAAGAACACAGACTAAAACAGCAGTGTACAGATGAATCAGATGATTAAACATGATCTTAAAATATATTTTAATATTTTAAATATATTTTAATATGTTAGTCGCCACTAACTAGAGGTGCTAAACTTTCAAACGTGACTACAGTATAGGTCGTAATAAGCTGCTGAACAATCAACCTATTTGGTCGTTTTTTGCAGGAGGACAGGCTGGTTTGTCCTTGTGGAGGAGCACTAACCCTGCTCTCAGAGAACCGTATGTCATGTTGACTTGGTTTGAAGTGACGTCCTGTGCTGATGCTTCATGAGTCACTTCCACTCTCCATGACAGACTGCAAACAGCTGCAACTTCTGTGTGCCTGTGTGTGTAAAGTTCTATCTATAAATAACCCTACTCTGCAAATACACATAAAACTACATAATGTATGTTCACATAAAACACTGCTTTCAAAACAGCACTAAACACCCACTGTCAAGGCTCAATATAGCAAGGCATAACGGCTTGATGTGGATAGTGCTAATTTCCGGATGCATGTTGCTCCGTGCTCTATTCAGTGAGTGGGTGAATTGTAAAACTTGCTGCATTGCAAGATTAAACGCCCCTCATACATGTATCTCTTTCTTTCCTGGTTCCTGGAAACAAGCGCTTTGCTTCTTTTCTCACCTCAGCTTAAGTGTTTCCTTATATAGTTTGAAACTCTCTGTTTAGGTTTTGGCCGCCTCCGATTATGATGCTGTTCTGTGTATCGGTAAACTCTTAAACAGTGGAAAAGATTGTAAAAACTATATCTGACCACACTGCTTGAGAAATAACACCTGAGTTAATTATTAGAAAATGTTCTTAAATATTTCATGCCAGTGAATACTTTTCCTACAAATCATATGATGGGTGAAAAGATGCAAGGATTTTTTAAAGCTAAAACTGCACAAAAGGATATCAAATGTAAGTCTAATCACAGAAAATGCATCTACCTCCAACTAGAGTTTTCAAACATTAGCTAACATTTGCCACCATCATCTTGTGGACATACCAGATCAAGTAAAGTTATAGCAGCCAAATCCTAGATGAGTATTGAATAGAGAGAGTGTGTTTTATTGCTTTGAGTTCAAACTTCATATGAAAAGTGAGGGTACCTTCTTGAATTGTGGGAAATAAAGCCCTATGCAGAGTATGTGGTTACGAGATCAGTTCATTATCTCCCACTGTATTCATAATCTAAATGTGTTAGGGTGTTTTTAACATGTGCGGAGTAACAGAAGAATTATCACTTGCCTATTAAAGATTAGCACTCCCCAGGCCACTGCCTTGTTTACCTCTAGTTACAAGCTCTGTAATCTATGATGAAACATGAGTCATTAGGGGTGACCGGTGTCAGGGAAAGATAATCAGGACAGTAGCCCCGGATGACTCGAATACTTTCCACCATCATGTTAGGGTTCTCTCTCCCCTTTTTAGAGCTGTAGGTGCAAGCATTTGGGTAGGAAGCAGAAGAGGAAGAGGAGTTACAGAAAACAAAGATCTGAGCAGAGAGGAATATCACTTAATTACTTCTGATAGCTATGTCGGACAAAAAGACCAGCCAAATAAATCTATCCACCAACAAGAAGATCAAGAAGCTGCGCACCATTAGCGTTGTGTGCAGCCTGACAGGAAGCTGGCAGCAGTGGGTGACGGAGAACGAGAACAAGCAGGCCGGAGAATGTGTCTCAAAGAAACCTCATCCTGTCATCCAGCCAACAGAAGCTTTGCAACAGTATGAAACTACTTCTGGAGAAGCTCAAAAGACTACTCACAAGGATGCCAAATATTCATCCAAAACAGAGGAGGTGAACACCACAGCTGAGGCGCTATCTCGCATCAAGGTGAAGCCAGTGGTGAAAACAGTGACCAGCGGGATTCAGGAGAAAAGTGCTGGCATTGGACTTTTGACAGAGAGTCCCTGCCATCAGAAGAGGAGATCGACAGGCTTCTGAAGAAGAAAAGCTCACCTACTCGCCGCAGGAAATGCTCCAACGTGGTATCATCTCTGACCAAGAGCTGGAAGCAGGTGGAGAGTGAGCAGAAGCTTGGAAAAGAGGGAGGGGGGCCAGGTGAAGGACGCACCTGTGCTGGTGATGGACATACTGAGGCAGAGAAAGAGACACTGGACACAGTGGATGCTCATTCACACAAGATGAACCCTTTGAAAGAAGAAGAGCAAAAACCCTCTGAAGGAGCCTCTGAGTCAGCAATAAGGATTAAAAGACCCTCAGTCCCAACGTGAGTACGATCACTGAGTTTCATGTCGTTTTTCCAGTAATAAGAAGTTCTTTGTGAACAGAATAGATTTAAAATGTTGAAAAATACTGCCCTACATTTACTCTCAATTCTTAAAGGTCAGATTAAATGGTATTTACATCCCTGATGCTATCTTTCCTTAAGAAACTGAATATTGACATGAGAAGGTCAAGTGTCAATTTAAAGTGTAAACCATAAATAGAAACATGGCTTGATTGGTAGGATGGGGAGAAAGCCAGGACTGTGGAAATATTTGTGTTGACTTCACTTTACCATTTGTGCACCATAAGGTCACAGATTAGACTGAAAGTATTCCAGGAAGTAGCCGTTTTCTCAAAAATCCAGTTCCTCTTCCATGACAATAAGTCAAATAAAGATTTAAATGAATATATATTAGTTTTTTCGTTTCAAACTGCAGTTTATTTGGAAAGGCAGGCAACATGGTCTTGAGAATGGGAACTCATGGAGAAATTCTTGAAGGAACAATTTTTTGGGATATGTACAGTCATCATTCTGGTTTGTACTCTACCCTGAATGCATCTCATGATCAAGTCATTTGAAAACATGTCAATTAGGTCAACATTATAACTCTATAAAGTAGGGAACAGGACAAGATTTTAGTATCCAAAGTGTGATTTCTGTTTGAAGTGTGAGCAGTATTGACTAGGGTTGCAAAGGGGCGGAAAGATTCTGGAAAGTTTCCATGGGAAGTTAAGCTGGGGAATTTTGGAAATATTCGATGCAAAATTAAACAAAAAACATGACATTTTAATTCTTTCTTTTTTTTTAAAGTAGAACAGTAGAACAAGTTTGAATTATTTTATTGAACAATTATTTGTTTCATTGAAGAACGAAAACAGGAATGTTGAGTTAAATATTACTCATCTGTGCATGTGATGGAGGAATGCACAGTGCCTATAGGGGTGTGGTCTCAATAGCCATGCAGTAAGCAGTGTGCTATGGCATGGACATTCAAGTGTACTTGAATGGCATCTGTTTGTTTTAGTCAAGATTATGCTAAAATATACTTTCCCCAACTATATTTAAGTTCTCTATGAAGAGCCAACCTTCAATTTTGAAAATTCCCAGTTTATTCCCATAAATTCCCATAAATTCCCGTTTATTCCCGTTTATTCCCGTTAATTCCCATTAATTCCCGTTAATTCCCATGGAAAGTTTCCATCTTTGAAAATTCCCGGAACCCATTGGCTATTGCGCATTACAGGAATTCTTGTCCCTGATTATCCATCGTAACACCGGGACCAAAAGCCGAAGAGTTTCCATATTGTATTCGCATTGACCTTTAAGACCTTTTTTTTCTCCTATTGGCTATTTCAACTCCCTTTGCCTTTAGTTGGTCCAAAATATACTGTGTTGTGTTTAATATAATCTGACATCCGACACAGGTACAAGAAGGAAGATCCCAACAAGATCAACGCCCTCTCCAAGAAATATAGCGCTGTGGGAAACCTCAAGAGCCGCTGGCAGAACTGGGCTTCAGAGCACACCGTTAACCAGAAACTGAACCCCTTCAGTGAATATTTCGATCATGATTACTCCATGTCCCTCCGCCTCCAAAAAGGCGAGGAAGGTTATGGACGCCCCAAGGAGGGTACCAAAACCGCAGAGAGAGCCAAACGTACCGAGCAACACATCCACGGTGAAATATCTGATATGTGTTATGTGATCAGGACTATGGCTGATCCGGATCCAGACGGAAAGACCCATGTCACGTTTGGACAGCTGTTTGACAGATATGTTCGGATCTCTGATAAGGTGGTGGGGATTCTAATGAGAGCCAGGAAGCACGGGAAGGTGGCGTTTGAAGGGGAGAGGCTGTGGCAAGGCCAGTATGAGAGTTATAATTTCTCTGATGGTGTGAGGTCAACACCTGGGTCAAAATATAGTCCTGGAAATTCTCTTACAGTTACTCGTATAATAACATCAGTCCTTATTAAGCAGGGCTGAGAGGAGGATTTATAAGACAATTTGACCTAGGTCTATTCAGTGGACCCTGGCAAAACAGTATCAAAGGAATGATGGAGACCTCAAAGCTTGGCGGATGAGTCGGATAATCAAGTATATCTTTCTGATATTTTTAAAGACTTTTTGTTGAGTTACTGCTGTCATGGATATGTTTGAGATATATGCAATTTTTGAAGTTCTAGCTGTTGGCTGCTTAAGTTTCCATTGATTTTCATTTGGGTCTCTATTGCACTTTCTTTATTGCTTATGTTGAAGAGATACTTGATATGCATATGGATTAATGTACCAAATATCCAGCAGCTTTGCAGTACAGTGCAGGACAGTAATCCAAACACGGATTGGGTTTCATTGCTAATGACTAATGCAAAGTGTGACTGTGATTGTCTGAGGAAAACAGGAGCACTTTCTCATCTGGTTATTAAGGTTGGTATAATATAAGAATTAACATACAGGACATTTATATTTTTACAGATTACAGATTAAATCTCATTTTCTGCAGGAATGGGACACCTGTGGGGTTGCAGTATGAGCTTTCTTTTATTGACAAAAGTTGTCCAATTTAGGAAAAATAAGTAAACAAATGAAACATCTTCATATTGTTAGTTTCACATGTTAATTTATAAGGCTGGGGAAAAGGAGGACGTAAATAGTCCACAAGCCAAAAGTGTATGCAATTTAAAATCATTTATTTTAGGGTTTTCATACAGAATATGAGAAAGGACATGCATTTGGTTTTTACTCTATTGCAGGGGTCGGCAACCCCTGGCACGCGTGCCAGCATTGGCACGCGGCACCGTAACCAGTGGCACACTAGTGGCGCATTTCCACTACACGGTCGGCCTCGGCCACGCTCGGCCACGCTCGGTACGGCTTGGCCGCGTTGGGCCTTAACAGGGCCGACTCACTTCATGCTGCGCTTCCATTACAGTTTAGGAACTGGGGTAGTTACTATAGTAACGCAGTGTAGGCGGAGCCGTGACGTCATCTTCAATGAGAACTCCAGAAACACAACACAGCCGTTAGCTGTTAGCACTCAGAGCTCACAGCTCCTTATATATGTTCAGAAACTCGACAAAAGTTAAACAAGTACACACCACAGACTGCCTGTGTCATGGTGAATACAGTCGCTGCTTTATTTATGTCTGTATAGGCCGTTGTTGTGAGTGTGGACGGTCGGAGCATATACTGCGTTAGTTTAGCCAATCTCCATCTAGAAAAACACGCATTTTAAAAGGTTTTTCGCCTGCCGTCTGTCTGCAGACTTGACAAAGCATTAATTCATGGTTTTTACTAACCGGTATCAGTATGTTGTTACTTCGGTATCATTTTGAAACGTGTATTACAATTAAATCACGGTCAAATATGTCCATCTTGTTGTAGTTGTACACAGGAAATATTGGTGAGTATTTTTTCCAGAGTAATTACTATTTTGCTCTGAAATAGTGATATTTAATCATTTTGGAGTGTATTTATTACTCATAGCTTCTAGAGTGCGATCAAAAATGCAGAGTCAATTCTATTGGAGTTAAACCATGACCACGCTGTAACGGAGGTGATCTCTGGGGCCATAGATCTCGGTCTCCGTTACGGATTATATAGCTTCATTATTGGCGAAGTATATTAATTTGTTCCACGCTAAAACATTGCACAGGAAGCATGTGATTATATGTCATTTATGCATATATTTGTCACAATCTGTCTATGTTTTAGTTTGTCTGTCTCTGTTTCCTGTTTTAGTTTGAAAAGTGTTCCCCCTCCCGTCTTGTCTGTTGCTGGTGATTGCGTTCACCTGGTGCCCTGTGTTTCTCCTCCCTCCTCACCTGTGTCTTGTTGGTTTGATTAGTCCTGTGTGTATTTAGGTTCTGTTTTCCTGTTAGTGTGTGTCTGTGAGGTCCTGGTGGCTGGTGACTGTGTTCACGTGAGACAGTCATATTGAGGCTGTGTATCCTGTACCACAAAGAGGAATAAATGCCCACACCGGGTTGTATTTGAACTCTCTGCCTCTGCCTCCTTGCTTGGTTGGGCCGCTCAATGGTCAGCTTCACACACGCCCACTCATGTTCCTTAAGCACTTTGGTTTATTGACCTTTTTTATTGTAAAGATCATTATGGTTCATTTATTCTATTCTGAGTAAAATTACCTTCGATTGGGAGTAAAATTACCTTCTATTATGAGTAAAATGGCAGTAGAGTTGTTTTTAATATACACTACATAGAGTAAATAACCATTAAGCAGAATCAAATCTAAGCACATAATAGAGTAAAATGAACTCTAAAAATACAACTCTGAACAAAGAGTACATTTTACTCTATATAGGTTGGGACCAAATGTTATATTTTTAGAGTAAAATTTTCTTCAATTTGAGTCAATTTTACTCAGAGAAATGTACTGTGTAGCCCCCTTGCCAGCGCTCCTCTCTAGTTTAGCATACTCAGCCCGACTCAGCCCTGTTTGTTGGCCCCGATAGAACCACAATTTTGTCGGTCCAGAAAAGAGGTGAAAAAGTGGCCTCGGGCCGGGCCGGGCCGTAACTAGGCCTAGTGGAAGCGCAACCAAAAACGGGCACGGCACGGCACGCTTAAAGCGAGCTCCGCGCTGTAGTGGAAATGCGCCATATGAATAAGTCGAATAAGTGTGCAAAATATTTAAATTATATTTTCGGATCCTGAACGAGACCGCCGCCAGAGCGCGTCTCCCCGTTACCTGCAGAAGGAAGCCATGCACGCAACGCAGCCCCGCTCTGTTTAACTCCAGGTAACTTTCTGCCGCTTTCCTCCGTGGTGCAGTGCTGATCGTTTCACCTCAGAGGAAAGCACTTCACAAATTGCAGTACCCATAAGGAGCTTTACAAATGCCGCAGTTTTTGCGTGGCTGTGTCTTTAGTTGAAAGCCCAGTGGCGATCTGCTCATCTCTCATTGAAATAATATGCTACAAAGGGGCGGACTGGCCATCTGTGTGTTGAACCTTCCTTTCGGCTCCCAGACCGTAGTCGAGGAGGGCAGAAGCAACAAGCTTCAGGTTCAATAACCCACTTTAGCTTAAATGACTGGAGAGAGGCGAGCTCTTCTGGGGAGGCCGTTGCATTTATTTAGCTGTTCTTCTGTTTCACAAAATACACAAAAGACCTCTGTTTTTCTGCTGCCTCGTTTCACTTCCAGAACCATACAGACGCTCGCTCACTCTCGCTCTACCATCCACACACACACATGCACACGCCACACCCCTCTCTCTCTCTCTTAAAGGGACAGCTATCTCATCTCACTCTGCCTGACCCTATTATCATAACATGTGTGTTCTGGAGCAGGGGTTCCCAACCCCCGGGCCGCGGAGGTGTTACTGCCGGGCCGCGAAATAGCTGTGAGTTTATCGTAATATTTGCAGAATTATAAATATATAAAAATATTTTATCATAATATTTTTTCAAAAGTGTTTAATTTTCGCACCTATGCCACCAGTCATATTATTTCATCCAGTAGCTAGTTAATCTTTCACCAGAAAACCGTTGGAAATGGCTTTTATGATGTTCCGAGGGATTCGGCGGCTCAGCCTAAGGTCTCAGCCTCTTGTGCGCACGAGCATGTTACCGGTGCGCCAAGTAGGAAGAGGAGCGCACAGGAGACAACCATTTGATTGTAGACTGTTATGTTTATGTGGGGAAATGGTGGTGCATACATTATTTGAGATAGATTTCAAACTCGGACTTCATTTTAAGGACTTCTCGGCCAGGGGTGTAGAGCTATTTGTTTAAGCACCGGATTGGCAAAACAGGAGAGTAAACCAGTCTGCCTTGATCTATGAATTAATGTCCGGGACTCTCACGGTATCTGCTGCACGCAGCTGTTTTATAGAAGGAAACCCTCCATCACTTCATGAAATGGCTGCAACATCAGGAGGCAGCGGGACGTATACTCGGTAAAGAGCTGTGCCTTTTTACGCACCGCCTTCGCTGTGTTTAACTTAATCAGAACAGTTTAAGAGTGACTCCAGGCTGCTACGTGTTAACCACACCAAGGGCGCCGGAAGCGGGGGGGCCAGGGGGCCATTGGCCCCCCCCACTTTTCAGCCCTGCCCCACATTTTCGCAGCGGCGGATGCCGTGGAACACTGTACAAATCCTGTTTCAATAATTCCCCTCTACTCTAAAGACGCATCTAAAACGCGATCTGATATAGCTGTGTATATTTTGTTATGTTTGATTGTTATATTCAATCTCATTAGCTACAGGCATTTTTTAAGCTTGTAAAGCTCTCACTCGCCACTCTGCTGTTCCTCAGCGCCGCTTCCCCTCCCTCTGCTGATATTATGAATGTAAGGCGTATAGTAATCATAGATAACACGGCAGGGTCCGTTACAGTTTGTTTTTATCTGATTTCAAATAAACAAAGTCTTGGCTTTCAGAATATTAAACTTGTTTTGGCAAATTCAGATGATAAATACAACTTTGAAGCTTGTAACGGCATAATTACAAGCAACGGAGTAACTTTACGTCACTGCAGGCATAACAGCAGCCGGTGTTTCTCGTGAGTGTTTTCCCCGGGAAACAAACACAATTCACACAAACGCAAAAATACACAAACACACACGTATACACACTCACACTCGCGGGCTTCCCCTATCTTCCCTTCGTACTATTTTGATCATTTGCTCCGCTAATAATCAATCAGATCGATCCAGAGAAGAGGAAACCTTAAAGGCCTTTTTCTCAAAATGATGACTCTGTAACAGTCATTATATAATGTGACATATTTTGCTTAATATTTGGAGTAGCCTACAACAACAATCCTGATATCATTAGAAAGCTAGGAATCTCCTCTTTCCAACAGTGTATACAACTCAAAATGTGTCTTCGGGTCAATGCGACTGATTTCGATGGAGCAGGTCACTTTGCATA